TCTCGGAGATAGCTGGGGGTGTTGGTTGCGAAGGGTTTGAGAAGAGAGTCTACATAGCTGGATAGACCAGTAGTGAGAGGTCCAATACCAGAGATGACGGGACGTCTGGGGTGTCCAGGTTTATGGATCTTGGGAAGCAGATAGAACAATCCTGATCGGGGGTCAGAAGGTGTTTCTGTGTGGATTTGTTCCCGAGTAGCTGTAGGGAGGCTTTTAAGGAGACAGTGTAGTTTCTTTTGGTATTCCGAGGTGGGATCAGAGGAGAGAGGTTTGTAAAGACTCTAGTTATCTTACCCATTACAAAGATAGCTTCCCCAATTATCACCTCTAATATCATTAGCTCACAGACATTTATCTTCCTCCCTCCCCCCCTGCATTCCCCTTCTGTTCTGAAATTTGATTTGTCCTTTTCATATGCGTTCTTTTTTTTTAATTGTATCCTTTGGTATATATGGTTGTGACTATTTTCTTCCACTTATTTGATCTGAGGAAGTGGGTCTGGCCCACGAAAGCTCATCATCTAATAAACCATCTTGTTAGTCTTTAAAGTGCTACATAGTCCTGTATTTTGCTTCAGCTACCCCAGACTAACACGGCTACATTTCTATCACGTAAAATGTTAAGACTTTGAATCTTAAATGCTTCAGATTAACAAAGTAATATTCATCTGTCAAAGTATTTGATCTGAGGAAGTGGGTCTGGCCCACGAAAGCTCATCATCTAATAAACCATCTTGTTAGTCTTTAAAGTGCTACATAGTCCTGTATTTTGCTTCAGCTACCCCAGACTAACACGGCTACATTTCTATCACGTAAAATGTTAAGACTTTGAATCTTAAATGCTTCAGATTAACAAAGTAATATTCATCTGTCAAAGCTGCAAATCCAGTGAGTGTGTAATGGTGGGCACTCACCCCCCACGCTGCCTCCTGCTGGTCCCTCGGGGAATCAGCGCTCCCACCTCAGAGCGCTCTCTGCTGGTCAGTGCCCCAGCCTCTGGCACAGGTCCTCTGCTGGTTCAGCTCCGTGTCCCTTCCTGGCCATGGTGCCCTTTCCTCCTCACACTGTCCTAGGAAATTGTCCCTGCACTTTGGGGTCCTCCCCTCCCAGGGAACCCCCAATTCCCCTAGACCCACCTTGGCTACTCATCATTGGCAAGGGAGTGTGGACCTGCTGCCTTTGCCTATCCTGGCTGTCTCCCTGCAGGCCTCATACTCGCAAGCCTTGCCTCGGGCCCAGCAGCTCTGGCTCCCCAGCTCTGCCTGCCTTTCCCCGGTCCTGATAGTTTCAGGCTCCGTCTGTAGCTTCCCTGGCAGCCAGGTCCCTCCTGCTCCACAGCGAGAACCAGAGTGTGTGTGTGCTCCTTCCCTCTAGGAGCCCTTATATATACAGCCCCAGCTGGGCCCTAATTATCTGTGTCTGCCTCACCTGCAGGCACCCTCCCCGTCACAGGCTGAAAAATAATTTGCAAATTAGAACCAGCATGACATATGGAGAAAGAAACACTGCATCTGATGAGCCCCAATCTTGTACTTTGCATCACGTTACAGGCACGTGTGCAAAGGAGGTGCACGTTGCTGTCGCACGTTGCCCTCGTGCCGATGACTTCAGAGGGTGCCAGGAGAGGAATGTGAGATTCCTAGTGACCCCTGTGATGGGAGGGGCGGGTGTAAGCATG